ATAACTATAGTGATTATTTTTATTTATTTATTTTTTTTTTTTTGAGGGGAATTTAGGATTTAACGAGATAGATAAGTACATTAAACTCTCAACACTTACCTCAATACAGCAAATAATCAACTTTTCTCTTTTATTTTTTGTATTAATAGCTTTGGAAATTACGCTTAGGTACCTTACTGTATTCAATCAAATTGGTTACAACTATAGACTATACCAAAAAAAACGAGCGTTACCTACTTGTCTCGAATTATTATCTTTATTCCACTATAATGGAGATTTCGACTTTTTTTCAATAAATATTCTGAAATGTAAATTTTTTTAATGCAGAAATAGCAACATTGATTGAATAAATAAATACATTAATAATTATTAAATAACAGAGGTTTCGTATTTACTAACAACATTATCGTTATTAAATGAAGACTTGACAATACAAAGAGTTTATAAAAGTTAAACAAAATTCAATCAACTTTATATAAATCAAACAATGGTAAATAGCAATTGGTATATCTCATTCACATTCGAAATAATTGAAACACCGGTTATTGAAGTAATCTATTATGATAGGATAATAGTCATTATTGTAGAATTTGTCTAGCACACCAATCCATAAATCAAAATATTTAAGGGCACACAAATGGATTTCCGTATCATCGGAGAGAGAATGATCTCGCAAAATGAGAGATATAGTGTTAAGTAAGCTTGAATTAAACAACAATATTTTGACACCAACCAAATCGATCAAATATCGTGAAAACAGAATCATCAGCTGATCATTATTAATAATAAGCCTAATCTGAACAGAATGATGGATGAAAAAAACACCAACATTTAAAAGCCAAGTAAGTACTTACTCATTTTTTACGTTACTAATAAAAACTCTCAGAGAGAATACAGGTAATACCTATTATTCTTTAAACTGTTTAAAATTTTTGTTTTGCAAAAGAGAATGTACCTTGAATAATTTTAATTCTTGTAAAGGCTTTTTCGACGCTCGAAATACGGGCGAGAGAAGTCCTCCTAAAGTAACCCAAAAATCGTCTGGTCTATCAGACCGAAAACGTAAAAGCATGGAAAAGAGATCTGTATTTTGAGGAGTGAAGGCCAATTTTCAGAAATTATAACTATGAAACAATTATCATCAATTAATAATAATAAATCTAACAATTGATTAATAAACTCTGTTCATTCCTCCATTGTAAAATGAATAAAAAAGGAATACTTACCACCTAATGACCTAATATGTAAAATTATATTCAAATTATCAAAAAGTCTCATAATCCTTCAAAGAAAATCGTAAGAAAATTAAGGATAGCAGGGAAACAAAAACTCATATCAAACAACGTAACATTTCTACGCTTTGAGATAGTTGAAAAACACGCGACATCAAATAATTACTTGATCATTTAAAACCTGCAGTGTTTGGACAACTGAGGACGTCTCGGAAAGGTAAGTGATTTTATTTTGTGTTTAATTATTTTAACTATTTAAAGTAGTTTTCCCTTCTCTTTTTTTAATTATTTTTATCACACAGAGTACCCACCAGTTAAATGACAAATATAAGAAAATAGATAATAGTTAAAGCACATAAAATAATAATTTAACTATACGTCTATAAATTATTTCTAAAATGTTGAAAATCAAAACAACGTTATAAAAATAGGTTATTTTATAATTTAATTAAAATATTAAGTTATTATGTATTATGAAATTATGTACATATTATATATTGTATGAGTATCCATCAATCCACGTTTTTAGATAAAATTAATTATCTCAAATTACTGAATTCAGGCAATCCACATCCACGAATAATTTGAACAAACGATTTTATGAAATTTTTATTTGATTCCTATAACGCCATACGCTCGACGTTTCTTTTATTTACATTGACCAAAACATATTATTTTTTTTTTAATAAATATTACTATGAATGTATAAATTGGCCCGTCAGCTACAAAAAGTTGGACCAACCTGTTGCTTGAGCCATACTATAAATTAATCAACAATTTGGTGTTATTCAACTAAATATTTACCGTTTCAATGGGCGTTAATTTATAGACTATACACCTAATGGTGTTTTATTTGATTAGTTATTAATCAAGATTTAAATTGAAAGTAATGAAATAATTATAAAATATTATTTGATAATTCACTGGTGGTGGTTACTGTTTATTAAAATAATTTTTTTGACAGAAGTAACAAATAGCATTCATTTATGCAAATAAAAAAACATATTTCAAATATTTAAACAGAATACAATTTTTTTGAACATTCAGTGATCAATAAAATTTACTGTAAGTTAAGATTTCGATTAACTGTGTTAATACTTTCAAGTTCCAATATTAACAAATCAACTAAACATAATTAAGATATCAAACTAAAAGCCTTTAAATAGTTTAATTTGGGTGATTTCATATTTTAATTTAATCATTAAAACACTTAACTATCAAAGTTCTTGTTTAATACACCGTAAAAAAAAATATGAATAAAAATATTCCATAAAATGTAATAAGAGAATACAGTAAGCATATTTTTAATGTGATTCCAATTGGTTTTTATGGCAATTAATTTTTACACCAAAACTTAATAAAATTTCTGGGTGAAATGTAATAAAAATAGATAAATTACAAATAATCATTTGTCATATAAAAAGCAAATACACAACTACTGTGTGTAAATGGCACATCACTGAACATATTTATATATTCAACAAAACAATACATACAAATAAATAAATGGTAAAAATTCAAACCGTTTTACAATTTGTTTTCAAAAAGTTTAATACACTCTGTTTAATATCTCATCACACAAATACACACACATACACACAATTATTTAATCTAATATTATACAGATGTGTGTATAATATATAATACATATTACATAGATATGTTATACATAAGAAATGAGTACAAAATACAATGCATGTTATTATCATAATAAAATACAATTTTTTTTTTTTTAACTATATTTAAAGTATATTAAATTCAATCAGTTGACAATAGGTAAGACGTAAGGGAAGAAATAATGGTTAAAATATTTGGATTAAAAAAAAGCATAATATCCTTGTTTGGATAAACTCGTATATAATGTTGCATGTTTAAATAGCCATTAACTAATATTTTTAATAATAATAATAATAATAATAATACATTCAAATGACAAACATATTACAGAAATGTATAAAAATAGATAACAAATGTATTAAAAGTATAATATATTTACACATGAATTAAAAAAAAAAAAAAAAATGATAGTAGCTACAGTTTTATTTCTAATGTACTAACTTTGAATTATCTTAACACAATAATGTGATGCTCAGCTATGATAAAAGATATTATAGGATGGTCACTCAGTATCAATTGCATTTTCATGGTAGTAATTATGAGAACAAAAAAAAAAAAAATTGAGCATTTGTTTTAAAAAACTCATTATTATAAAATATGACATAGTGAAAGTAAGTTTTATAATATTGGCACTTGAGTACTTTTTTTTAGAAATAGTTTATTATTTTATTTATATTAAAATTCGCATAAGCACCCTGTTTATTATAAAAAAGGTTGTACTGTTTTTTTTTTTTTTTTTAATACATTTAAATAGTTTTTTTATAGATGGAATATTAATAAATGATTCAGCATTTCACTCTATTATAAGAAAAACACAACACAGATTGTTGTTTTAATGCTTTAAATAACAAGTGAAATTTTGTTAAAACTCCCCATGATAATAGTATGTAACAAACTACAATTGTACCACATGTTCATATTGTGTCTTATTGTTGTTAGATAGGTACTTATTAATAATGCAATTTATAAAATTAAAAATATTAAATGCATAATAGGACGATAAAAAATATGAATCAATACAAGATTATTCTAATTATAATATTATAACTTTATGATCTTTCTTTACTATTTTTTACAAAATAATATTAAAATATTTTAATAGGTGTTGACTACAATTTCTAATTGCAATATTCGATCATAGATATGAATAATATTAGATATTTCAATGAAATAAATTATGTTTAAAGAATCAATAGAACAATTTATAATTGAAACACCCATATCAACAGTTTTTAAATTACTGTATTTAATATTATATTACTGGCAGAATTAAAACTAAAATAATAATTGGGTTACGATCTTATAATTAACAAATTTATTATAAGTTATAGCAAAATAACTAAAGTTCGTTGTTAAATGTAAATATATATTAATGTAATCAAAAATGCTAATTAAAAACTATTAATAAGTTTATCATATTAAATGTTGAATACAATAGTTTTTGAGAATTTGTTTTTAACACAAGCATTTAGTTACATTATCTTATAAATAAATGTTTTATTTTATTTTAATTAATCATTGTTTATAATTTACAGTCAAAATTGTCTCTATTATCGAAGATACATAAATTATTTTTAATTCTATCAGCACAAAACATTGTTAATTTCATGAAACACTTTGTATTCATACCAGCATTTATTTATATGCAATAAAATATTATTTCAAATATTTATTATAATGCTCAATAAAGGACTAGAGATTCATGGAGTAATTAAATTTGTTTGGAAGCACATATTTATTTAGAAGATTATAGATCGTGATTGATATTATATGTAATTTACCAATTTCACCAAACAAACAATAAATAATTAACATTGTTTTTGGTTGGACATAACTATTCAAATTATTCAATATGAATTTAACAAAGTAACTTTGTGTATTAATAAAAAGTGCTGAAAGAATACAAATAATAATATAACTCATTATACGTTAAAGGACAATTACAAATCGAGGGAAAAAGAGGAACATGACTTAATATAATATATCGATAATAAAAAATTTTAAAACACACACTGAAGACTAGAGAAAAGTAGAATTGTAACCACTTTGAGCATGTTATTTTGAAATTAAATAATGTATGTTGTCATAAATAAAGCAAATAAAACTGGAATTACCAAGTTTATCTCAAAGTTCTTAAAAAATTGTTTAAAAAAAAAATTGTACCATAAATTTAGTCATCTTCGTCATTGGTATCAACATGTTCTGTATCATTATCTTTGGTTTCCACATCATTCTGGTCATTATTTTTAAGAACAAGAGAATCACCACTATCTTTGGCTGTATCAGTAGTATCCTCAGCTGCTCGAGCTTCTAAAGCTCTAATACGGTTTTCATGTTTTACAATCATGGCTTTTAACTTTCGAATTTCCTCTTTAAATTCTTTAATGATATCATCCTAAAAATAAATAATATTTAGTTTGTAAAAACTCAAAATGTACAAAAAAATATGTTTTTATGCTAGGTTGCATAAACAATCACTAAACATTTAATGAATTAAAAGTGAACTAATAGTACTTAAGACATGAATTAGTGGATCATGATTAGACATTACATTTTGGTAAACTATTATGCTAATCAATTTTTCATGTAACCTAGCATACATTTTATGTTTTTACTAACTGGAATTGATTGTTGTGGCTGAGTAAACTGTGGTTTAGCTACAGGAGCTGCAGTTGTTGTATTGTTTGAGCTGGACTTGACTGTTTTATTTGCTGATGGTTTATCCAATATGTTTGGTTTTTTAGCCACTTTCATTTCAGAAGCAGTGGGCAATCGTGTTGGCTGATGATAATCTTTTAATGATATCAGAATAGGTTCAGCATCTTGACCATTAAACCAATCTTCGGCATCTACTGCAGGAATATCTCCAATAGTATCCGGATATAAGTCTTCTTGAAATAACTCTGACTAAAAGTATAAAAGAAATTAAAATGTTTAAATTTATAGTTATAAAGTTTTTAAAAATAATTTACCTTTCTTGGAACTGTCATGCTAATTGCTTGACACAGTCCAGAATTATTTAAACGATAAAACTTAGATATCTCACAAATAGATACATCACAACCACGTTTCGGCATCATACCAATTCCTCGTTGAGGATCTGGCGTTTGAAATGTATTAATGTAATGGACAAATGGATGTTCCGCAGTAATTTCAAAATATCGAATTACACTATCTCCCTAAAAGTACATAACATTTATTCAAATGCAAACTAATGAAACATCATTAAAAATAAGACATTACCTTGCCACACAAGTAAATCATACTAGTATCAGGATCATACAATGGAAACATAACTCCATTACTTGTATCTAATTCAACCATAACAATAGGATCATCTAGTTTTTCTGGGGATCTCAACGAATACTGTCTTTCAGAAAGTTTACTAAAACCAGTGGTAAATATGAGGCCTCCTTTTAAAAATATACCTCGAGATGCTTTGCTTCCTTCATGACATATTACTTCCTACAGTAATAATGAATAAATATAAATAATACAAATTAATTAATTAACTAAAATGCATACCTGTACAACTTCTCCACTTCTAGGATTAATTAGTCTCAGCTTTTTATCTTTACATGTTGTTAATAATTGTGATCCGTCATAATTCCATGAAGCACTAAATACGATATCTGGATGGCAATCTATATGAATAAGTGGTTCACCAACGCCAACATTCCAGATTACTACTTGATTATCCGATCCTATAAACAGAGCCAGTATAAGTATTATATTTTAAAATAAGTAATTTAAAACGAAAAAATACAAGAAAAAATTACCAGCAGATAATAAAATATTTCGAGCGGTTGGGTGCCATAATACCAGACCAACTCTCCTTTGGTGATAAATTAAATCTACAACTGACTCAGTTAATGTTCTAAAAATAAAAATAGATTTGAATTAAAAAATAAAATAATATTAATTTAAATAAAAAAATAAGTGTATACATACCGTGAAATACCACCATCAGGAATTTGCCAAACCTTTACCACACAATCTTCTGAACCGCTAGCAATCACATTATCATTGTGTGGACACCATGCAATGTCCAATACTGGACCTTTATGACCACCAACTACAGGTTGATCAGCAGGTAATCGACCAGTCTATAAAAGCATTTATTATGGAATTAATATCTCAAAATCACAAACAAAATAAAATACATTTTGATTACTTAATATTGATATTTTTTTTTTCAAATCTATTTCTGGTTTTATTTCTTATTAATGAGTAATTAATTAAAAATAGCGCAGATATAGATAAAAATTTAATGTTTGATAAATATAGCCATATAGGTGGAAATATCCATTCTCCATCATTTAGAGAAAATAAGTAACAAAGTATAGAGTTTATTAATAAATTAAGTTTAATTTTGCATAAGAAATGAACTTTTTAAGGAATGAGTTAACTTCTTTAAATTGTTCTGTAGGTCTAGCCAAATTTCACAAAAACATTGAATTGGTATAATGAAAAAAAAATCTTCTTAAGAATAGCACAGCACGTGACTTCTATAATTAATTAGTCTAAAATTCACCATAAACCTAAAACTAATTTTCAGATACAATAGTGAAGTTTAAAATAAACTATTGTTATTTTTCCAAAATAATATCACTAAATATTTAATAACTTTAAAAATAAAAACAACCGATTACTGTTGTACAAATGGTTTCATTAAAAATATATTTCGTAGAATTTTCAACAAACTTATAATAAAAAATTTCTTTTAAAAATAATTAATGATTATAATTTTTAAATATTTATTGAGTATACATATAAATAACCTTCAATCAAAATAATATCATCTAAAATCAAGAATCCAATTAAACTAAGTCTCAATATAAATATTTCCTTAAGATTGATATATAAATATATATATGTATATTGACATATTGTACCTATACAGTTAAAACTTAAAATATTAATGAGGTACTCTTGGCTACCTAAACTAAAACTAAATTGATCTTATATTCAGTTATCTAAATTGAAATATAACTGAACAATCTATCAAATTAATGAAAATTATTTTGTGTATATTGATAGTTGATACACATATTTGGTAAACATTTTCAGTCCTACCATATATATTTTTTTAAACTATACCAAAATCATTTATGTAGGATTTTATTTAATTTCTTATTTTTCAAACTACATTCATCAGAATTTATTTTAATATATAAACAGAAAAAAAGTAGCAATTTCAAAAAAAAAGTCAGTTTAAAAAATAAAAATGATGTTTTACTCAGAATCAAAAATATATATTATAATACTTTGAGTTTATAAATAAATTCAAACAAAAAAACACACCTGATATGGAAGTTATGGTATTATGAAGTATCCAACAACCTATTAAAAAATAACTAGATACGAAAAAAACAATAAGGAAAACTATAAACTGTAAACTATTGTTTAGAACTTAGTTCTTTATACGTGTACGGTGTACACATTCATATCTTAGAAATGTGAGTCACTACTTACTAGTTGCTAGTTAGTATACATTTACCAAAGACAACTATGTATAAATTCATACGATAATAATGATTTTGTTTTGTTCTCCATACATAATTATTATACTTGAAAATAATGTAACATAGTAACTATGAGTTATGACTCAAATGATACTATTCTTCAATATAACATTAAAAACAATGAAATAAATGAATTTTAAAAAAACCAATATAATATAGCACGAATACAAATTCTTTTAAATTACGAAAAAAATATTAAAGATAAGATATAATATGATCATTATTTTATAGAATGTCATTGAAATCATTGAATGAAATATAAACGAATAGTTTAAATAACAACTAAACATAGGCTAGCATTCTTCATATAATCTAGGTAGGGGGTCCATCATTTTTATTCTATCCGTATTCTTATTTCTTGGCAATATGTTATGTATGGATCATGAATATTAAATATGACGTCATTTCGCTAAGATAAATACATTGAATATGGACTAAATGAAATTAAATGACTTTTTTTTTGTTTAACATCATTTTTTATTAAGCAATCTGTTACAAACAAATGAACAATAGGCTTAATTGATAACATATATACATAATAGTCATTAGAATGACGGAATGAAGAGATCTCCCATTGGAGATACTCCGTTGGGGGAAAAAAAAGTTAAAAGTTAGACTTAGTTACTTTTTTTCTGATTTAATTAAATAACTCAGCGGTTCCCAATCTTTTTAGTTTCGCGGACCATTAATTTTGTAAAAAAATATTTGAGGCCCATCCATAGCATACCTTACCTATATAATATAATATGTTTTCATAAAATTATAATATATAACATAACATAATATGTCATATATTATATATATTATATATATATATATATATATATGTATATGTATATAGTTATTAATATATAAAAAAAACAATTGTTTATTAAAAAAAACTTAATTCAACTTTATCACAAGATAAACAATTTAATGTGATTTTTGACATTGCTTATTCTTTACGAGAAAGTCAATATTTGGATTAAAACTTGTTACTTTTAAACTTATTGTACACTATAGTTAAAATTGATTAAATATTATTATGATCAGAAATATAATAATAAATATATAATAATATTATTTTAAATATATATAATATTAAATATTATACCTATGGCTCGCGACCCAGTACCATGCGGCTCACGGCCCATGGGTTGGGAACCGCTGAAATAACTTATACAATATAATATTATTTAGAATTCAAATATTGTTATAACTCACTGATATTTTATACGTGTTTATTAATTTATTATTATAACTTAAAACTTATAATAGTAATATGCATGATAAAAATACCTAAATTATTTTTAAACATATTTTACAACTCTTTAATCTGTACCAATTTATCTAATTAAGAAAACTGTTAATATTTTGAATCAACTACATATTAACTACTGTATGTTTATAAGAATGTTATATTATTGTCTCAAATTAATACAATTATCTTCACTAAAAATATCGATATTGAAATATATAACAAATTGCACTCGAGAGAAAAAATTGGCATTTTGCACACGGCAACCGTTCAAATGTATTTTTGATGATTTTAATCTCCGGGGAGAACTTTAAATATAGAAATCACGATGAACAGTTATTATATATAAATTATTTTAGGCGTACGTCACTAAGTGGGGTTGCCCTGATTATGTCGTGCTGACCACAGAAAATAAACGAAACAAAATAAAAACACGGCACCATACAGATTTCTAAATTATGATTATCGTAGGTTTTGGACAATAGAAATATAGCTAAGAGTTTAATTTTAAGAATTAAATATTAATATACATAATATATAATGACCCCCATGTTTTATTTATATTATTTTGATTTATTCGTAATAATAATAAATAAAAATGATGCCATCATGAACTACTGTATCGAGTAGTAACTCATTTTTTATTCATTTTGTAGTATGTGATCGCAAATCAATTTTAAATTAGATAAATATGGTCTACAATTAATATGTAAATTTATAATATTTTTTTATGCTCTTACCTAACAAAAATCATAATTTTTAATTAATTTAATTCAATTAAAAATAAATAAATTGCTTAATCACATGGGCATAGTTATATTAAAACAATTTTATGTTCAATATCCAATATTTATTAAACATGTAAGGAATTTTTAATTAAAAAAAAATATATATATATAAGAATAAATTAAAATTTAGCTTCATATTTAAGCTCAACTTATATTTTTAAATAACACTAAAAATATTAAAATACCAAAACATTTAAGTATTTAATATTTATTAATATTTTAAGTTTTCTAATATAAAATATAAAAATTAAAAAAAAATAAATTAATGAATTAGAATAAAAGTATATAAAAAAAAAAAAAAAAAAAAACTAGTTGAAGCATCTATATTCGAGTTTATATATTTTTTTTTTATTTCCTTCTAAAAATAGATAAAGCATATCTAAAAATGGTTATAATATAATACAATATATCATAAAAATAAAAAAACGATATTAATACATATATTGATATTATTATTAGTTTCTGATGTAGTTGTTACTTGTTTAACTACTATACTACAATCATATTTAATTACAATGATTGTACAAATCATCACATTACATTACATATAGGGTATCAAATAAATCAATGATAATATCCACACAGGAATAGCTAAGACATTAATCAATTCAATACTTAAATTTCAATATTTAATGTAACAGTACCTAATTTTATGATGAAATGATATCCATAGTGTAAATTATCTCGTTACTAAAAAGATAAATTTATATTTAATCCTTTATTCATATTATGGTAAAAAAAAATACATTAATAACTGTCATATCCAAACTATAATATGTATATTGTATAAGATCTATTAAAACTTATACCAAAATCTTTTAATGAAAAATTTATAATTTTATTTTACTTTTCCTATGAATATCTAGTAAAATTAGTAAAATTGTTGACATATTTTAATTATAATTATTCTAATGGAAAAATTAGCTCTTAACTAATATAAAAAAAAAAAAAAAAATATGTGTGAATAACTTTAAAAGAAAAATATTGTTTATTGAGTCAGTAGGAATGAGAAAACAAATTTCTAATTTTGAATAATCCAAGTACACGACACAATAATACATACTTCCTCATTAAATTAGATATATTTTAATTAACGTAAATATATCATCTTCAATTTCTATGGATAATTATTTACATATATATGAATGTACTTATAAATAAAACAATTTTAAATAACCTACCTTTGAAAGAGGTAGAACAATAAAAGCACCTCCGCCAGCTGATTCAACAATGCAGGCCATAAATTTTGGATTCACTGCACAAAATGTGGAATCCCAAGAAGATTTGGATACTCGAATATTGTCATAACAATATTCACGTTTTAAAGCTGTACCGTATACATGACGAAACTTACTACTTCTTACTTTAAAAGACATCTAGAAAATAAATAAACAAAATTATTGAAAAAATGTAATTATACAAAGCTAATTGCACTGGGATAGAACAAAACATTGTTATCTTAATTATTTCATGTATAATACAGTTAAAAGATATTTATTATTTCCTGAAATATCGGTTTGATAAATTGTGCAATAATATTTATTATGTAAACTACTTCAAAGATTACTATAATATACCTAGATACAAAAAGAAAAGGTGTTAGGGGCAGATTGGCTAAGGTATGCTTAAGCGCTACAGGACACCATGACAATTAAAATTGCCAAAGAGGAATTACAAATAGAGCTGCTAAACATCTTACAATATCACTCATAAGTTAATCATTGTAGAATATATAACTGCTTACCTCCTAATTCACCTCTGATAGACATGTTCAAGAAAGTTGAGTACAGTCTTTAAACTTTAATCAAAGAATACTATAGGTTAATTCCCCTCAAAATTAGAAGTATACAATAATTGTATATATATAGTAATTATTACTATTAACTAAAACAAATATGAAGGCGAAAACTTTTTCATACATATTAAATATTCAAATTACATAAAACAAACTCAAAAAGTCCAATTCAATAAAAAAAAAAATTGGTAGTTTTAATAAAATTGTTTATGAATTGGTAGGTATTGGTATCATTTTTTTTTTTTAATAAATGTATTTATTTTTGTAGATATAAGTGGATATGTAAACATTTTGAAATTTTCTCTTTATCAATATCATATTTTCAACTTTAATTTTAATATAAGTAGGAGTTATTAAAAAAACTAGTATAATAATAACCAACAATATTTAGTTGATTAAAGAAAATGACTAAAGGTGATCAGATAATATTTGATTTTCAGACATTTGTTTAAATAAATAAAATAACTACAATGAAAAGTGTAAATAGAACCAATGAACTTACAAATTAAATTTTTTTTTATAGTAATATGAACAAAATTAAAGTTGAAGATACCTACATATTATTCTGTTAATATTAAACATTTAAACTTTATCAATAAATAAGAGTCATACATAGATAAATTAGATACCTATACTTTTTTTTTTCATTCTCGTGTGAATTAAATTGAGAAATAAAATAAATAACTTCATAGAAATTGATAATAATTAAGTATGTTTTATAATTTGAATAGTTTTCAAATGTTCAAAAAATAAATTCCCAATAACAGTTATCTATATTCCAAACATCTAGAATTCAAATTGTTTGTTGTTTAATGTCCTAATAAAAATGAGTTTCAGTCCTTATGTCAAAAAAATTAAGTATACTTAATATACAGATTTCCTCTATAATTTTGTCATTGACTAATATTCATCAACACTGTCAGATTCAAAAAAGAATGGGCGTGTTACAGAGAAACCATCAAAGCACAAACATTTTGTATTTAACATTCCATTGATCAATTGAAATCAAAAACAAATTATATCGCTAAGAAATTCATAATAACCTGGGTAACAGTATAATAAGACTTATACCCTGAGGCATAAGTTTAAAAGTTATCCATAAGTCGAAATGAAAATCCAATTCGACGTACTAATATATTATAAAATAAATTGCTTAACGTGTGCTCACCTCGGTGACTCATGCAACGGGAATTTCTCCTAATATAATCTGTATATTTGATTTTTTTCTGGCGTTATCTCGGATACAGCAAACGGAGCAACGGCGGTCCAGCAAAATATGTATATGTATATATTGCGTTAACCGTGAGTGGCGTGTGGCGACGACGTATGTGTAAAGCGGATGAGAATTCTAATAGTACCAAAATTCGCGATTCCGTTGATCAGTCGAATCACAGAACTATTACAGAAACGTATCGAGTAAATTGACAAGAAAAAAAAAAATGAAATAAATAGACGGACAAGATAACCGGAACGTCGTTCGACGGCGTGGCGCGGGGGGAGAAGACGATATTAAGCGCGGACAACGGCTGTATAGCGCGGCGAACTGGCCGTGAATCGGAGGGAAAAAAAAAGGTCGCCGTCTAATATCACTGAATCACTCTACCATATTAGGCGTTTGCGAATGGAAACGCGACGGCTGGCTACTGAATCGGCGTGATGGATGGATGGCCGGGGGTCGTCCGCGGTCCGCCGGTTTATTTACAATCAACGACGCACGGGGCAGTGCGACACCGAGCACCTGGGCACAGTGCCGCCAACGTCACGGAACCCCCACGCGAGCGGTCCCGCGGTCGACGCCGTTGTAGTTGTCGGTATACCATTTAACTATTTAAGTTTAACTGTATGATGATGATCACTGATCAGTGATCACTATTCAGTATTCACTATGATCCTATGACCTATGGTTAAAAATGTTAAAATGCTATAGTGTCGCTCGTTGTCGTTGCCGTGCACGTCTTGACACGTAAAATGACTAAAATGTATTTATACAGTTAGTCAGTATGACAGTATAATATACTATATCGAACTCGGCCAGCCAGACGCGTGATAAAATAACATGTTATTTAATATTTTATAATGCTCGGACAGTCGGACGTATCGAATCTCGCCGTTCGGTGATACGCAACTACTGAACAACGCCATAGAGTTGACCAACTAAAATTATATAATTATTATTAATTCTACCGTTCGTCGACACTGCTGACATGCGTTTCGTATTCAGGTCGTGTCGTGAAATCTTGCACACAGCACACGCATCGCATTTTATTATTATTACCTATTATATTCTCGTCAACAACTAACAAGATACGATTTATTATATTTATAATATTATGCAACGTCGAACGACAAACTATATTGTTTATAAATATTCGCAGTTTGATCATGATTGTTCATCATGTTTAGTGTGATGAATTATGGCACAGGCACCTATTATTATTATACGAATTCTGGCAAAAAATTTTTGTTTTACAGCACATCAGCACTAACGCATTTTTTCAATAAATATGATCAATACGAAATTAATTCTTTACAGGCAAATTGAAGTTCTTCGCTTCGTCTTGAATACCACAGTTAGTTTAGCTTAAATACCTTGGAGGAAAGGTGTTTGAGTCCCATCAAAATACAATATGATGTAAACAAATATATATAAATATATAATACAATATGTTATGTACCAAATGAGACGCACCAGATCTCTGACCCCACGAGTCCGCAACCTCATGTCATATTAATTCATTACATGATATGTAATTGTAGTATAATTCTATGTAAATAATAAGTAGTAGTTGTCGGTCGAGGAAATAGTCCCTTAAAAAATATTTAAAGTCATCTTCAAATTAATGGATGCTTATTCAGTCAGCGTATCTACCTAATTGTTTTCATCAATTGTTAAGATAATAAAACGTATTAAAATATTTTTAGGTATAATTCGTTTATGTTGTGCCTCGTGGGTGTACATTGTATATTGCAAATGGAAAAAAAAGATTTTATTCATAGTTTTATAACTAATTTTAATAATTTGTTTCAAATTTTTAATTAAATATCTAGATCATAATTCGATTTTTTTAATGAGCGTAAATTAATATATCCGTTATAGTTATTAACATTATGATAACAGTAAGTTAATTTAAGTTAATATCTTCATGCACGATGTAATCACTGAGACTGAATAATATATTTAAATTGTAATTCATTATTTTAAGTTAAATATATTTTAAATTTAGTGGTGGCATAATTTATAGTAGATATTAGATAACACTGAATTAAAATATTTGTACAAAATCGAATAAGTATCGAGTGATTCGTACATTTTTTATTTATTTGATGATCTATTGAATATCCTGTAGATCTATTTAAAATGAATATGACTACATTCAGTCAGAAATGAGTGTATAGTTAAAATCATTATACAACTGGGAACCGTCGAAAATGGAATAAATCAGGGGTGTATTTATGAGGGTGGCTGCAGGCTGCAACCCTCCCCCACGAAACGCCTGGGAACCTTTTAAAAATGTTTTAAATGTAATATGCATTGTTGTTTCAATCTTTTGTTTTCTATTACTATAGGTATAAGAAAAGAAAAATAAACGGTTTTTCCGAATAATATATAGGAAGTAGGTTAGTAGACCTTTTAAGTCTAAATCGATGCCCGATGGTAACTTATAATTGCACATTAATGTACATAACATTATCACTGGCTTAATAATTATAACCTACCTTATAGAAATAACATGACTAATCATTTAAACAACAAACTTATACCTAAGTAACATGTGAGTAGTATTTTGCCAATAAAAAAAAATTGTACTTAATGGCTTGTTCTTACTAATATCAAAGTTTAACTATATAGTTGAATACAATAAATACTAAAATACATTATAGGCTTTAGCTATATTACTATAATAGTATAATATGCCTGTTATGTTAGTGATATTCTTATATGTCTGTTGTTCATAAAAATATTAGGACCTTAACCATTTTTGTTTTTTTATCTATGTATTTGTATCAAAGTATTTAAAGTGTATTGATACAAATAAACATTGATCTTAATACCTTATATTTATTATATCATATAATATATATACACATTGTAGTCATAAGCATTTTTGATTATTTCCTAGTTCTTATAATATTACAATCACAACAATCCTACTTTAGTAATTTTATTATACAATCATGAAATCATTAAGATTGTAAAGTATAAATTAGGTAGGTACCTATCTCTAGTCTTCATGCATAAAATTAAAAATTAAAAATTATAGGAGTTATTGGGTTATACCTTGGAGACAATCTTATTTCATTTTTAAATAATAGACAGTAAAATAATCACAATTTTCAATTTGTTTAACAATTATGAATAAAATACAGTAGAAATAAAAATTACATAAATTTAACATATTTTCTGGATATAATGAAATAAAATATTTTAAAAACATAAACTTTAGTAGATACTAAATAACTAAGCGGTCTAAATATATATATCTATATAACTAAACAAAGATAATATAAGACAAAGAATTAATAAACTATGAATAATGTAAAAATAAAAGCAAAAATAATTTCATAGAACATTTAAAGAAATCTAAAAATTACTGACAAGTGGAAAAGCCATATAATTTTGAGAATAATGAGAAATATAAAAAATTATTTTGCTTCTGATGTCATGATTATTTATTTTGAAGAAAATACTGGTTAGAAAGGAGGAATCATAAATTGAAGATTATATATATCTTTTAGATATTTTAAATTTAAAAATCAAGAATATTTTTGTAGCTAGAGAAAGAGGGTCTAAGTATGTTTAAGATAAAACAAATGAAACAATAAATGTTTTAAACTTTTTTAAAATAACCATTATGGCCAATGTAATTTATTTTTCATATAATTTAAGTAGGTATATTTGAGATGAGAATGAATAATTGAGGTAAAAATGTTTTTTAACACAAGTGGATCATTGTATAAGGATCAATTTTGCTTGATCATATACAAAGAAAAAGTTTTTTGTTATTCTAAATATATGAAGATCAAATAAAAGTTTTGTTTTAAAGATTACTCCAAGATTTTAAATTTGAGTGGATCAAAACAAATTTTGCCCTAAAAAAATCACTTTATTTTAACTTTAAATTTTATTAATAGTTCAATACTCAAATTACAATTAAAAAGAGAAATGCTTATTGATGACAATAAAGGATATCAATTATTTTTATTTTTTTATCTATTTAAATAATGTTTATTAGTAATACATTTTAACAATAAAAAGTTAAGTATAAATATTCAAAATTAAATATTCACTCAAGTTACACCATTTTTTTTTCTGTTTTGAACTGACAGTGCTACGGGGACTGCTTTTGCATTACTTCCGTGATACCCAAGTTATATCTAACTCATATACTGATACACACATTTATATTTTAAATCCACTTTTTTTTTTTTTTTTAATTAATGGTAAAAAATAGATAAAAGTAAAAAAACAATATATTTTTTTTTATTGAAAATATATAATGGTTACAATAATCAAATCTTAAAGATAGATTAAAGATTTAATAATGGTAATATTTCACCAAATTTAGCTTCAATTTTAAAATTTATACAATCATCAGCCCTAGTTGGTCCTATATTTACTACAGCAACAGATTTATTAGCTGATTTTGTTTCTAAAACTATTCTATAACCTGAATACACAAATAGAGATGAGCCCATAACCAAGAGTGAATCACATTGTTCTACAAATTCATTCACTCTCTGAACGCGTTTTTTTGGAATGTTATCTCCAAAAAAAACAATGTGTGGAATTAATAAATTTCCTTCACATTTTGGACATTTGGGAACCTTGAATCCGCTAATTTCTTCCTATTGAATCATAAATAATAAAAATATATTATACAAGATGTTATAATTTATAAACCATACTTTATAAATGATAATGTATAGCATATGGGATATTTTATACCATACAGTAAAGAAATTTATTTTAAGAGTTGTTATAAATTTAATTTTTGCGTTCTAAATATTCATTATATTCTTTAATAAATATCAACTATTTAGAAAATATAAATGCAATTTAATTAAATATTTCTATATCACAAGTGAACTATATATTTTAAAATAATCAAATTATTTAAATTTGAGTTTAATATGACCATATTATTATGTTCTAAATGAAAAAAATAGTTTAATGTGTGTAATTAGAAAGTAAAAATAAATTAAAATAATTTAAAAATGTTTTTTCCTTACTGGAGTGAGTTCAACATCACCATCAGGCCTGAGATTGTACAATTCTTTAATGGAAACTTGAGGGTTTAAACTTGATAAAACATCTTGAAATCGATGTCTATCAATTGTATAATCACAATTTAAGCAATGTACAACATAAGCAGTTCCATGCAATTCAAGAACATTCTTACTTCCTGCTTTTGTATGCAAGTTATCAACATTCTGAGTAATAATATGAACAATTTTATTTTTATCTTCCAATTTTTTTAGAAACTCATGTGCATAATTAGGTGACATTGATGAAAATCTAGGCCATCCCACATAATTTCTAGCCCAATAACGTATACGAACTTCTGGATCATTTACAAATTGTTGATATATTACTGGGCGATTTTTACTTCTTGCATATAACCCAACATCAGCAGAACGATAATCAGGTATACCACTTTCAGTTGATATTCCAGCACCTGTGTTAAACAAATATAATTACAATAATTAAATCATTCTTTTATGATACACTCTACCAGTTAATACAAGAATTTTTTTGTGTTCTTTAATGAACCGATCAAGAGTATTTACATCAGATGATTGCACAGGCTTATGTTTTGGTACAAAATTAGAGTTGCATCTAAAAATTAATCTTTTATTTGAACATAAAATTACTTCACATGTTTTAAAAATCATTTTACTAAAATTTAAAGCGTACATTAAAGGTTACAATATAATATAATATATGGTATATATTATACACAGATTATGAGTTATACGTCACTTGATTAAAAAAAAATAAAATTAAAATAATATTTTTAATTTGAGAAAATCAATATAGTAACAAAATAATAATTAATAATACCGCGTTCAAAAAAAAAATTATAATTTACGAAAATATTAATAATATTAAATTTTACTGTAGTCTGTAGTGTTTATAAAATAAAGATCGGTATTATTTTATTATCATTTATCACAGAATAGATTATCTATTATGTAATATTTGGTATTAGTAATAATATTATGATCTAAGCCCTAAGGTATTCTTTGATGATTTTTGTCTATGTTTGATAGGTCTATTATCTATGACGACAATAACACATTAACACTGTTAATAAATTATTAATATATTAATAATTTATTGGTCTATGATTTTTCTTTCTGTCCCACACCTTAAAAAGCGCATTTTTTATTTTGTTGCTAAAATATATATTTTCTGTTGTCTAATATAGAACTACGTATTTCACATTTTCATTAGTCCAGAGCTTTTGATAAAAAACAACTTATTTTCGATTTTGTATTACTTTGCCATCTTATAATAAAATATCCCATAAAGTAATTATGTAATACCCATACCCAAATCGTTTAATCTCGTAGATAATATGCATGTAGCTAATTGGCTTCGACTGAATGCTGATACAGATTACAGATGTTATTTTTTTTACTTTGTTAACTATAATTTGTTATCAATTTATCAACTTCACTACTTCAGCAGTTCAGTCTTCAATATTATTTCATGATCGTGAAAATCATTTTTAAATGATATTAGATTTACTTTTATAAATAGTTATTAATAGTTTTATTCATTCCTAGAATCATTCTTGTTGTCTTATTTTCATTCTTAAAAATTTATTTAGACTACCTAAAATCTATTTGTATTTATATTTTATACTTGAATGTATCAGTAAATCATGTATAATAGTTCAACTTCAACAGCTGTAGGTTCAGTAATGGGACTAATGTCTCATTTGACTGCTTCTGAACTCAAAGAAATACTAAATGATGATAGCAAGTTTGAAATGTATGCTAAGGAACTGAAACTGGTAAGTAATTATGATTGAGATTAATTGTTTAAAGTAATTTAAAGATGATTAATATTTAAAAAATCATGAATTTTCAGAACAATGAAAAAGATACTGAAAAAGAAATGTTAATTGTAAGTAATCAATCTTTGGCTGAATTTAATCTTACCAAAGAACCAGAATTAGTTAGTGGCAAAGAAAGATTATGTGAAATGTATGATGAAGCGGAAAAACTGTATAAAAGTGTTACTGAAAAAGTAAATACTTTAAGTAAGTATAATTATCTAAATTTTTAGAGTTTCATCATATATTCAAGTGTAACATTTAATTTACAATAGTTACAATTTGTATTTTTATTTAATACGTTCAATGCTAATGCCGTATACTCTCTGACACTGGATATTGATGCGCTTGGCCAATGTCGGAGCGTATCTGACACAACGTATTTTTATAACGTTATAAAATATAACTGAATACTAAGCTGATAGTGTATGACCATAATATTTGATATAGCCATTCACTATATATTATTTAATAAATGAATACAATTGGATTTTAGTTTCCATTATTTTTGTGATAATGGCAAGGTTTAATGTTTTTTTTCAATATCGTTGTAGTGTCTGATATAAGATAACAAACCAATGTCAACATTGAACGTTTTAAACAGAAATAAGGAAAATTAACCATACTGTACTTTAGTATAAAGTTATTATTTCTATAACTATAAAATTAATTTTTTTTAATTTCATATATATTTCCATCATGCATAAATTTTATTTTATATTTTTAAATATTAGTATTTGTTAATAATATAAAATCTAAGTAGTTACGGCTCCATTAAAAAAGTGATGGACATTTAGTCCTTGGCAAATATTAGATAAAACATTTTGTTCCTTCTAGAGTTATTAGTCACATGATGTCTAATCCTTTAATATTTTAAATCATTATTTTTCTTAACTTCTTCATACCATTCAAAGAAATAATAAGAAAATCATATTAGTATATTATTTCTAAATCAATAAGTTAAGTAATTATTTTACTTTTTGTTTATTATCCTACAAAAATTACAAATATATTAATAGATAATAACTAATAATTAAAAGTTAAATAGCTTACGTTTCAAAATTTTTAAATATTATACTTTTTAATTTTTATACTAATTATTTTTTCTTTTAATAATATGAAATGTAATTATTATTGTTATATTTTAATTCTGTGCCACATAATAGTATTTAGTTTTTGTAGAATTTTTTTTTAGCATATTTATTTAATTAAAAGTTAAAAATACAATTTTTCAAAATGTTCTATAAATAATATCAATATTTGATACAAAGTTGATTTGTAATGGCTCAACTTTAATTTCAAATATTGTATACTATTATATTAAATACTAAATACCAAACCAGGTGTTTGAGTTGAGTTATATAAAAAATATTTGCACAACTTGTTTGAGATGTAATGAACAATTAATATTGAATTGATTTATGAAAATATTACTTTTTTTTCTGGGATGAAATGTCCATAAATTGTATGTTTTTATGGGAATGAATAGTCCCAATATTTAACAATGAATTATTATTAAAATCTCAGTAACAAACTATATGTAACTAATTTTAACTAGGTGTCATTATTTTGTTATATGATATGATAATATAATAATATACCAATTTCTGTTATTTAAAATTTGTTGAGGGTAATTTATTAAAAAATTTACTTTTTTACTTTATGTTTTTTGTTTTATTTTACTTTATAAGTACAAAAGGAATAAAGAAAGATACTCTTTTGAATATGTACTCACGTATGATAAACTTAAACACTTATTCAATTACTTATATTTATGCTCTGAAAGTTTAAGTAAACATTTTAAATTCCAAAGTATTTCATGTATAGAATTTGTTAAATACATCTTTAATTACAATAATGTGATTGTACACATATTTTCTTACCACAAAAGATTATTATGCTAATCTCTGATATTTTTACTTTAAAGAATATTATATATAGGTAATAAAAAAATTCCTTTTAGAATATTTTAATTAAGTTCAATAAACTCTATCCAAATAAACTGTTAACTCAGAGTGTAACTTTAATATATTTTTAGTTTTATCTTGTATTATTAATTAAATTATATATTATATTAATATGTAAGTAAAACTTCTATGAAATAGAGCAGCCTAATTCATATTTTAATTTATGGCACTAAACTGCAAAACTTAATTTAAGGTACTTTAAACATTAATATTTAAACTTTAAGAAGACTAATATTAGTATATACAAAAAAATATCTAAATTTATAAAACGAGTAACTTAAATCTAATTTTACCTCCAGAATAATCAACTATAAGCACAACTATTACATAATATAATATACTAGAAACTAGAATATTGTAGAACAGTGTTTAGATTAATATGTATTAAATGTTTGGCCAAAATAAATTGATTGTTATAGATATAATAAATAGGTTTCTGTTGTTTAACATTAATTTAGTTATTAAAGAACCCATATTTCACCTAGTAAAAAAACTTTTATTGCTGAATGTTGTGTCATTAAACATTATTTATTTATTTTTTTTATAACTCATGGTCTTTGAGCAATTTTATTGTTGACAATATGTTAAGCATAATTTTATTAATAAATAAAATTTTAAAAATCTATACAATGTTCAAATGAAAATTTTTTTTATACAGAATTAATTTAAAACAAATAATATTAACTTAATTATTTATATTATTAATCAAATGAGTTATCTATTATTTATTTTTTTGAATATTGACTATTGTAAATTTATACATCCATATTTTTTTTATCAAATCAAAAATAAATAAATAGTATAAATAAAAAATTGAAAATTTTAGCAACATTTTTCTTCTATTGAAATTGCAATCTAATTTTTCTTATACAAATATTAAACTTTTTTATTTTTTCTGATTACCCTATAATAAGATATTAAAAATATTTTTTTTAGAACAACACAAAGGTAGTATGAATCCAGAAACTATATTAGCTTTGTTGCAAACTAAATCATGCGAAACTGAAGAAGAATCAGATGTAAGTATTAATTACACTGAACAATAATAAGAAAATATTTGAAAATTTTTTCCCATGATTTCAGAAATTGGCTGAACAATTTTTAAGTAGCAGCATTGACTTAGAAGGCTTTTTAGAAGAGTTCCTGAAGCGACGTAAGGATATGCATTTGCGTAAAGCTAAAGCAGATAAAATGGCCGAATTGCTTAGTAGACGCAATAATTCCTTCAGATCACCAATAAATAACATTCAACCAATAACATCAGGATATCCACAACCTGGATACCCCAATTCATTTTATTTTCAACCTACTTCAATGCCATATCCAAATGTACCCATTAATATGCCTATGCCAGGCAATCAATTTATGAACAGACAATTTTAATATACTATTTATTAATTAATAATTATATACAAAAAATAATGTTACATTTATTATTTTTATTATCAAAATATACATTTATAAATTTGAACTATGTATATAGAACAAAATAAAATTATTATAATGTTATTATTATTTTTAAACTTTTTATCAACACCATTTTAATTTTTACATTTACCACTTAAGTAATCCTGGAATGTATTTATCGATCAATGATTGATAATATGGCTTCAATTCTTTTACATCTGGTATGACACCTCCTTTAGTATATAAATCAAACTTACTATAAAAAATAAAAAAAACTTTAATTTTCCATGATAATTTATTCAATTATAATAAATACAGAATAGCAAATAATTTTTTGTTATTTAAAACTATAAATTTATTTTTTTTAATGATATGATCACACGACCTTTACATATTAAGAAAATGACTTATTTCCCTCCAAATACATTTTTTTTCACTATTAAAATTTACTAATTTAAAAATCTAAGTAGGTACCTATTAGATGTACCAATATTTTATGTATTATTGTACACGTGTTTACTAAAGATTTGAGACAATAAATTTATACTTCCTAGTTTTTAAGTTAATTTTCAAAATGCTGATTATATGTAATTAATAATTATCATCTTTAGCAAAGAATAAACTATAGATGATAAGCATTTATTTAGTGCCTTTAACATGTATTATACAAGATAAAAAAAATAAAACTTAAATCCTACCAATAAATTGTTTAAGTTTCATCTGAATATCTACTTACTTAAATTCTAAGACCCATTTCTTCATTTCCAAATCATCTTCATTGCATAAATAATCATAGTCACCACCTGAGTGCCATGGGTAAAATGAATGAAATCTATAATCCATTGTAAATAATTGTATATTATAAAAAATAAATACCTATTCTTAGGATAAGCTAAATATGTGGTAGGTATACATAGCATATCAAAAATAATTAATCAATTTAATTACCTAATCATATTTAGTCCTACTTTAGGTATTGTTGTTTTATTATGTACTAAAACTCTGTATAAATATTCATCATGTCCCCAAGACATCAAAATATTGTTTAGTCAACAATTTTTTGAGTAAATACCTAATGTTGTGCTAAAAATACAATAGTATTAATTTGGTACTTGATTAATTGCATTAAATTAAGTATTAAAATTACTTGTATCTTGGGTCATAGGTGTCTGGGTTCTTGTTAAATGTGGTGTCTTTATAAACTATAGAATTTGCCCATGCACATCCAACAGGAAATGTATCACCAACCACACTCCACTGAGGTTCACCTTTGAAAGCCATCACCTAAGTACAAAGGAAACCAATATGTTTGCGAGGAATGAAAAAATTATCCAAATAAGAATTAAGTAATCAATGTTGTCTATAATAGGTACCGAACTAGCATCGTTATTTGGGTAGGTACCAATTACAAAATATGTATTATTAGTTCTCTATTTTATTAGTATAATATAAACATTCACATATTTGCTAAAGATTTTATTTTTTTTTTTAACGATAATAAAATAATTTATAATGTAAATACACGTTAAAATGCGTTAAAATTACATAAAGGTACCCATGTACTCACTTTCCCTAAATCGTGTATCAAACCAACCAAATGAAACCAATCATGGTGTGGGTGAACGGCGCGTATACGTTCAGCAGTTTGAAATGCGTGAACAATATTAGGAATATCTACGTCAGGATCGCTTTCGTCCACTAAATCGTTGAGGGATTCTAATGCTTCCATAATAGTCGCTTCAAATTTATCGAAAGACAACCATTCAGCCATCTTCTCTTCATTACAAATGTGTTGGAAAATAAAACAATTTTTAATTAATTCATTTTTATTGAGCTGAGGTTACAGAATACAATTCAGCTATTTCAACTGCTATAATTTGAATAACTATTTTCTGTTATAACATAGATAGTGTTTAAGATCGTAACTAGGGAAGTCAAGGGTTCGGACCCCCATCCTACCTTAACAATTTATTTTTAAATAGAACCATTTTAGTGAAATATTGTTTATATTACCTATTATATTTTTAACATAAAAATGATAAATGTACAGTATTCATTAAAAAAAAATCTTGAACCCTAGAAATTTTTTTTAGTTACGGCTTTGCAATCGATATATTAAATCATTACCTATATTTATATCCATAAATAAATGTAAAAATGGAAATTTTTGTCACGTATGTTCTCTAAAACTACCTACTTGTCTAATAGATAAAATGTCAATAAAAAAAAAAATGTATTTTTAAATTTTTGTTAGAATAACTTATGCCTTTTGGGTAACCTTTGAACTAAAATTTCAAGCTTCAGTTATAAAACGAAATTATTGAGTAAATATCCCTGTCATAAATTCAGGGATTTAAAAATTACTGGGAATTGTTTACATTTGCCCTCCGAAAACAGCTACTATCTAAATTGAATGTTCTATTAAAAACTACCTATTCTTAAATTTGAGATTGATTATTTTTTTTTTTTGTACTCTAAAAATAATGTTTTACTAATAATTTGTTTGGACTTACTTTTTACATAATCTATTGTTTGATTCGTATGCATCTCTGTATATGTAATTCTCACTCTTTCTTTAATAGGATCTTCGTAGTCTATGTTATAATCCCTGTATCGTCCAATAGGTTTGGAAGCGAATGCTAACTCTGGTCTCATTAGTTCTGATACATCAAGCATAGCGATTTTATTTTTTACCTAAAATTAATTTTTTATTGATATTTAATTTAATAGTAAATACTAACAATACTTTTAATACATGTAATATATTCACGCAGAAAATAAACCAAATTATAAACAAAAAATTCAAAAGTATATAATAAATATGAAGTCATGTAATAAAAAAATAAATAAATACCATTTTATTTTAGTTGATATACAAAATATAAATTTTGACAATATAGCCTATCAATTATTAAAGACTAGCGCTATGCAACTAATGCGAACGGGCTGAGTATGTAACGAATTTTTAACTTATATACTTCCCAATAATTATTATTTTTAACATTTTTATTTGTACTTTGGTATTAATCAGTAATTACGTCATTAGCATAAGCGATCGTAAGATAGGAACTGTGTATCTATAGATAATAAAAATAATAGGTAATATTTTATTGGACAAACAACCGATTAACAATTTATATCGACATTATAATAACACATGTTATTTAATTGTATCTACATCAATAAGTAAATTATTATTTATTAATGAACTATAGATTCGTACACGATTAGTATAGTGTAGGTATAGTGCATACCATTCTGCATATACCTATCTACAGTCTATGGTCTATGTCTATATAATATAATTTTATTGATTAAGCGATTCATTGTTTTCTACATATTTTTTATATAGTTTATACTATTATATTTAATAGTTTATACTTAATATTACATTAATATGACGTTTGACGTATAAGTTTTTACACATTTTTTCTTATCTATTATTGAACCGTTTAACAAATTAGTAATATTATATAAATTTATTATACATGGATATATATCAACATTTTAATTTTTTTATCTATTCATAGAAGTATGCGCATGGGAAATAAATACAAATATATATTAATTGATCTATTTATTCACAGGAAGTTAGATACTAAGGTAGAGCCGGACTGGACAGGTGGGATACCGGGAGTTTCCCGGTGGGTTGCTTGTTTGAAATGGGTTGCTTATATTATATTCATAGGGACTTTTTTTTGAAGTCTATCGGCTAAGGCATAGTCGACACAATTTCGTAAAAGAGCTCAAACCTTAATAAATTGCTTAATACGTATTAATATGTATTTTGGAGTCTAAACATATATGTATTTAAAAAAAAATGAAAACATTTCTTTGCTAACCAATTTTTAATTTTTTTAATTTTTAATAATAATTTTAAGTGTTTAAATTCTTAAAATGAAATACTATCGTTTTATATGAAAATATATGTTGTTTTTTTAAGGTTGTTTTTATAGGTTTTTCTAAATGCAGAGTCGATTTTTTTTATTTTCCCGGTAGAAATTTTTGACCCAGTCTGGCCCTGTACTTAGGGAATATTTTATAGGGATATAAATATAATGTTTTATATGACCTAATTTTATTGATTTAATGTATTAATTATTAATGTATAGTTGATAATAGTTGTAAATACCTAGAATACAGTATTGTAGACAATATATTAGATATTACATCTTTATTATTTTTGTTATAAGTTTTTACATTTTATACAAACTTTAGGTACGATTATTGGTCTGCCCATATAACGCCAGCAAGTCAATAAACGACGACTAATCTTATTATAATAATATATACCATTACGTTATAAATCTGTAGCCCAATAGCTGGTGACTTTTAAAAATTTTATATAATATATATATATATATATATATACTTGGCTCAATACCGGGTAATAAATTATAAAATCAAAAATATAATACGAAGCATGTAGATAAAATGTAGCCTAATTGCTGATCAGTGATCACCTATATTTATAATTATTACCTATATTATATCAGAGGTCGGCAAATAAATTATATGATAGGTCCAGATAATTTAAAAAAAAATTTTCGAGAATCAGAAAAAAACTAAAATATTAATTAATAATTAATATATTTATTTTTGTGTTAAATATTCAATTTAAGATATTATATTTAATATAAACTGAATAATTATTAATTAACTGTTATTAATCAACTTATGATCATTAGGTACAATGTCCAGTGTTATGTTATCGTCTTAACTATTATTGTAAACAGCAAAATACGATTCACGCCATCGTAATCTCCATATACATCATAAAAATAGATCAAATATCTATAATGTGCAGAAAACCAGCATTTATTTTTTTATTAGATACCTACATTATAGATTTTAAGAATGATATAATTTATTCCTGGTTATTATAACGTTTTATAATATTAATTTTAATAGATACTTTCAAAATTCTATTTATTTTAGTTAATAAGTTTAAATGTACGAGTATAAAATGATTGATGAATAAAATATGAGCCAATATAATGTAAACTATATTCTGTATAGGTATATATGTACTTCGGTGTACTTTTATCAACCTTGAAGTACAACATATTAATACATTTTACTTAGTGCAGTGGATTTTTAAAAAAATTATTAATATAATTCATTAGTTGTCTAGATAATAAAAAATAAACCGCTTAGGTGATAGCAACAAAGCATTTCTACTTTCCAAGAATTTGCATATTTATTAATGTACTATATTTCCACAGATATCTATTATTATTGTATTTTTATTCTTAAATAATACAATGTATATTTATATTATAATTTATAAATTACACCATAATCATTAATCATGTTGTACTTACATACGATGTAATTGTTACATTTATTTAATATCAGTAATTTCTGTACATTCTGTTGCTCGTATTAAATGCATCCGTGTAAAATTTGGAAATTTGGTTGTCAAATGCTAACTTTTATGAATAAATAATATTTTTTGGTTTTCTGATTTGGTCTATAGATGATAATTCGGATACATCAACTATACATAGTTGTTTCGTCTAGCGTTGCTTTTTTGATCATTATTAACAGCAGCATTTTTTTTTTTTTTTTTTGAACAACTCATATTTAAATTTCTTTTAATTCTGGACTGAAAATCAACAACTTATAATTATAAAGTTTCAATAGGGTGTGTAAAAATATCAAAAATGTATTGTACTGTTATACTATATCAACTATTCACTAAAATATTAATTGCTTAAAGTAACTAATAATTGATAAAACGGATGAAAAAAATAATATTTTTATGTGCGTATTTTTCGATTATTTAAAAACGAATAACTAAATTTTTTATGAACTTATAAAATTATAAATAGACTAAAAACCTGCTCTGCAATGTACATTCTTTGATACAAAAAAAAAGATCGAAATGATCCGATGAGTAGTTTCAGAAAACATACATGACAAAGACTTCCATCTTCATAATTATATATATGGATGAGTATGGATGGTTGTGTATGCTTATATATATTATAAAAATGTGTATCACGAATAAAATTTCAAAGGTTAAAATTACTATTCTAATTACTTATAATATGTCATGTTATGGTTTTATTTATTAAAATATTTAATAGTAATTATAGACATTATACGTAGTTAAAAATGTTAATATCTACTTATAATATGGTGCTTATATATTATAAAATTACAAAGGTTTAAATGTTACACGCTAATACACAGAATATTAACACGAAAAGGTGATTTAAACTTTAAAGTTATCACATAAGGTTAAAAATCCATAAAATAATTCTTAGTATACTTAATTATCATATCTAATTAAATAGCTTGTATATAAAAGAAAAACATACCAATACATACAATACAACCTTTGTTTATAAATTTAATACTTCAAAATAATCATTAAAACAAAAGGTAAGTGAATACGGCTCTGCTATGCTTTAGGTGTAACGAGTGGGTCACTATTATACGTGTGTTAAATTTGAATTCAATGCTATATCGCATTTTATTTATAAACGAAAAACGGTTCTGAGCTGAAATAGTCTATCAGCCTATATCGCCAAATAATAATGTTTTTTTTTTTTTTATAACTATTTAAGTAATTTATTTTATATTTTTAGTATTATTGTAGTAGCCAGTAGGTTGATATAATTTTTTCTGAAAATATTGCATTTATTATATTATTCTAATAATATGTATTTATACTATATTATATTAATTTTATGCTCAAAATTCAACAAAATCTTTCTATAAATATCATAAAATAGTAATAATAGGTTCATAATATAAACAAATAGTGTTTTAAAATAAATCAAAAATGTCATTGAGTATTCTAAAATTCATTTTAATATAATATGTATAAAAGTCTTAAGCCCCCGCGAATAATGTTTTTAGAGTCTAGGACAATTTGCCCACGACCGGTTTGCTGCCGCTTTTTTCGCCGCGAAGAAAACCTCCCTACGAAATATCAGTAAAATCAATCGTGTACTTATCATTAAATAATATAAAACAGTCAACAATATTAAGATTATGACATTTTTTCAATTCTCGCCACCCGACAATTTACACATGTTTGTCCCTGATTGACACACTTTGTCCTTTGAGTTGTGAAACATTAATTTTGATATGTTCCTTAATTTAAATCAAGCAAATTTTATCTCCCCCACACTGAAATTTGCTACTACGTAAAAATAGGAGATTTAGCAATATTAAAATTAAAGAAAAAATTATTAAATAATAATAATTAGTACCTATCTACTTTGGAATTTTAAATTATTACCATTGATTATTATTTATTAGTTTATTACATAATTAATTTTATTGATTAATACATAGAAGTAAAACTTCTCGTTATATCAGCATACAACATAGATAAGTCGTTAATACTTATGATCTATTCGGTGACCCATTGACCGTGGTATCATATTCATTATTGTACAACAGGTACTTATAATTTATCGCTGTATAATGATTTTAAACTGTTTCAACAATGAAATAAATAAAAAACTAAAAACACAAAAAATAAATAAATATAACTATGAAAGTTAATGCTGAACGTTAAAATAATCTCGTCGAATTATAATAAGTAATAACTATAATATAGCAGGAAACACTGTTATTTTTCGACTTAACGACTATAATGTATTCGTAGCTATCTTTTTCCACCACTCTATGTGTTATTATTAACTATACATACCTACTTACAAATAATTATTTTTTATTATCAATTATACTTGTAATATAGGTTAATTATTAAGTATGCAGGTAAATATTATTACTTATTAGTTTAAAAATTAAATTGTATTTGTTTATAATTTTGTACGAATTTGTGCAAGAACTACAATAATGTGTACATTTTAATAAATCAAGTTTAAAAAATTGAAATAATTTCATTTTTATTGTACTTACCTACACAAAGATTGCAAAATCAATCAAAATATATAATAATAATTAGAAAGGACTTACATGAATTAATATATTATTTTCCATT